TTTTTTTTTTTTTTTTTGCTACGATCTTTCCGTTGTCTTCACTGAGTTGCAAAGCGTTGAATGTAGGGAAAACGACAATGCTTACGTAGTCATGGATATAATCAACAGTGCTATTTCAGATTGTTGCGAAAGGGATACGACTTCCAGATCACCAAATGCCAGGGGAACCGGATCCATTTCGACTGCCCAGGGAAAAAAATATGCTGCGATTAATTGACTCGGGTAGTAATATGTCTACTGATCAAATCATTACAAGGATCATCGATCACAGGTATACGCGCCTGAATGATTTGCTCTTCTTTATATCTTTATATTGTGTAGTAAAATATAAATTAATTTCGGGAAAGTTTCACAACACTGGGATTCTAGTGTCTTTGATTTTAGCTGCAATCTTTAAGATTGTTTTTTTAAATTTTGTTAAGCTTCATAATTGATCACGTATTAGATTACACTTATCAGAAATCAAAGGTTTTTTTTCTTTTTTTTTCATATCGTAGCGAAGTATTAACACTTAGGTTTCTTGAATTATTTTATAGAAGTAAACAGCAATGGTTTTACATTAGTTTTCAGAGTAAAAATCTTTTGTAATGCTCATATTTGTTAAGGTTTTGGAATAACAAAACCTTCTATATAATTTGCAGTATTTCTAGGAATGATTATGAAAATAGAAATCGAAGAAAGGAGTGTCGCGAGGCTGATATTTATGAGAAAATTAAGAGTTTTAATTTAGATACTCTTCAAGTAATTAGTATCTGATCTACGCAATGCATTAACTATAGATGATATTATATCTTCATTTTCTGACGGTATTTCAGTAAAAAATTATTGCTACCGATATCTATAAAACTGGATTCTGAAACTTAAGGAAAGCTTGATCCTTCATTTTGGCATGATTTGAAATAAATTCAAGGCCATATGATAATTCCTGGAAGTTTCAGAATTCATTGGGAATGGTTCCCGTTTCACTTGATTTCATTAGAGAAGTTTACAGATTTTAGATGATTACAATTTCTGCTTTACTAATTATGGATGTATGAGTTGCATGACATGTAACATTTAACTTTACGCCAATGTAATTTCGAATACTTCGGTAGGGAAAATTTTCAGACCTATGTTTTCAAAACTTAAAAAAACGAAAACATCTATAGTTTGCAGGAAATCAATTTGTCAGTATCATAGATGGATATTCTGTATATATTCGTATTTCTTTCTCATTGTTAATGCTATGTTTTTTATAATTCATAGATCCATGCAGTTACTACTCATTCATCTTATTCTGAATTAATTATTGATTTCGTTGAGAAAATTTTTCAGTTTTCTAGATTTATTACGCTTGACAGGGTTAGCATATTCGCATCTTTTGTTTCAGCAGAAATATCTTTTTTCAGTTCGTTTGCTATACCGATAAGCTAAATATTATTTGACGGCAGTGACTGTACTTCGCGCTATTGATTCATCTTTTTCATTGCTTCGGATGTTATTATTGTCTGTGTTGAAAACTCTTGCCAAATTGGCGAATAATTTTTTTCAGTGATAAATGTTATGAAGTCCTGCAGAAACATTAGCAAGAAAACTGTAGACAACACTGCTCTATTTGTTGTGCATTTACAAATATGAGTGTCTTAAAAAGGCTTATTGTAGTC